TATATATATATATATATATATATATATATATATATATATATATATATATATATATATAGCCTGATAAAGTAATAATAAAAAATGGTGCCAGCATCAACATATTTTTGGATTCTCCCACCTTCATAAATGTATTGTGTCCTGTGGTTCTGTATAGTGCCCCCACTTTCATGGCTGTTGTATGCTTGCTTACTACTATATGTGTGTAAGATTTTTCATTATTATTTTTGAATTCATGCAAACAAAGATCATGCACCAAGATCCATAACCGGACACATTTACAGACTGAATTGGCACTTGAATACTTCCATTACACTGCAACATCCAAATCAGACCAGCTCAGCACACGTGCATGTCTACTATTATAGAAGGACATTTCAGTTACCTTAAAACCTGTTTCTCCTGCTCCCAGAATGTTTGTAATGCAGCTTGCAGTGTATTATTCCAAATGACTGATGCTTGTCAGTAGTGAACACTACTGTATCTGTTCATCTGGGAAAGGCTCGTCTGAGGCTTTGCTTCGTTTGCAGAAATGCAGCGTCCACTGCACAGCGAGCTTTTATTATCGGTCTGAACGGATGGCTGTCACATCATCATTTGTTGCGGCTGTAATTCCGTAGTATCCCTGCGAACAGCCGCGTGTATGCTGTGAGAGACAATATAACACATCCGAGCTCACAAATGAATGAGTGGCATTACCCAGATTGCGAATCAGAGACCGGTATGTAGTGTGCAGGCTGTGAAGAGCGCCGACGGTCCCTCAGGAGGATGCAACAGCCTGCGAGGAGATGATGCTGCACGCGCGGAAAGGGTCAGGAAATGAACCCACACCTTTACATACGTTAAAGGAGAGCAAAGCGTCAGCCTATGAGCGTGCGTCATGTTTCACATCACCACCGTCCACAGAATATAGAAAGAAAAGTGACAGCGTTCACATGACACTTGGCTTTATCTTTTAGAAACGTGCTTGTGTTTATAATAGTCAGGAAATTAGGAAGCTTGAATGAAATCATAATTTAAAAGGATCGATTGATTACATAAGAGTAATATAATGTTTTTTTTTTTTTTAAAGGGGTCATATGATGTGATTTCAAGTTTTCCTTTCTCTTTGGAGTGTTACAAGCTCTTGGTGCATAAAGAAGATCTGTAAAGTTGCAAAGACTAAAGTCTCAAATCCAAAGAGATATTCTTTATAAAAGTCAACCACGCCTACCTAAAACGCCTTGTTCTAACACGCCCCCACATATCTACCTCACTATGTGGAAATATTAGCATAATGCCGCCCAAATGTGCACAAGAGTGTCTGTCTGCGGACTGCAAGAGAGGGGCGTAACTGGAAGAGGGCGTAACTTGAACCAGGGGGCGTAACTTGAAGTTGTCCAAATCACACAGAACCACGGGAGATGTCAAAACGAGATGTTATTGGCAAGATGGCCGCTTGTATAGAGACAACAGTGAGAATTTTTTTTGTCCAGAAATAACCGTTCATATTGAAGTGTGTAAGTTATTTTCATACAGTGGTGTTGTTTATGGAGTTAATAATCTATTAAAACTAAGGTTTAAAGTAAGCAATATATAAGCAAAAGGTGTAAAAATGCTATCCCCGGTTTCACAGACAAGGCTGGTCAAGACTAGTCCCAGACTAAAATGCATGTCTGGGCTGTTTTAACTGAAAGAAACTTGAACTGACTGATCTTAAAATAATTGTTTTTTGTCTCAAGATGCACATCAGTAGTGTTTTTATCCAAGGCATATAAGAGCTACTTAAATGTCCTAATTGAACTATGGCCTAATCCCGGTTTAATCTAAACCCTGTCTGACCTAGTATAATATAGCATATTTGTGATTTTGCTGTTAAAACACATTTTATAATGCACAACTAACAGTTCCATAGGGGCGTAACTGGAAGAGGGCGTAACTTGAACCAGGGGGCGTAACTTGAAGTTGTCCAAATCACACAGAACCACGGGAGATGTCAAAACGAGATGTTATTGGCAAGATGGCCGCTTGTATAGAGACAACAACCGTTCATATTGAAGTGTGTAAGTTATTTTCATACAGTGGTGTTGTTTATGGAGTTAATAATCTATTAAAACTAAGGTTTAAAGTAAGCAATATATAAGCAAAAGGTGTAAAAATGCTATCCCCGGTTTCACAGACAAGGCTGGTCAAGACTAGTCCCAGACTAAAATGCATGTCTGGGCTGTTTTAACTGAAAGAAACTTGAACTGACTGATCTTAAAATAATTGTTTTTTGTCTCAAGATGCACATCAGTAGTGTTTTTATCCAAGGCATGTTTATAAGAGCTACTTAAATGTCCTAATTGAACTATGGCCTAATCCCGGTTTAATCTAAACCCTGTCTGACCTAGTATAATATAGCATATTTGTGATTTTGCTGTTAAAACACGTTTTATAATGCACAACTAACAGTTCCATTAAGTACACATACGTCTCAAAAGTGGATTTACATGAACCACATATACATCTTAAAGACAATTACTAAATATCTATTTAACATCTGACAGGATAATCTTTGATTAGTATTGCAGATGAGTACATCTAATAGACATGAAACAGGCACCTGAGTGAATGATGTATGTGTGTTATTATGTAGAATTCACTGTTGTCAACACTGTTTTTGATGAATGTAAGTCATGTAAACAAATCTACATAAAGTAAAAAGTAATCTATTTTACTTGTCCATTTGTAATATTGATAATTTAAGGAACATTTGTGTTGAATAAAAAGCCAGTTACATCAGCAACTACCTCAACATGTAAATGCAGTATTGAGCAGATAAATCACAGAGGTGACTTGACTCTTGTCTGGATGTTACAGGGACAGATGAGACACACGTGTGTTTATCTGCTGCAGAGTGACTGATGAAGGAATGCTATATAAACATATTTTAAATCTTAAGTTGTAGTTTATATTAATTATTGTAATTTCAAACAACTATTACAGCACTTTTCTGATTCTTGATTTCTGTGCATTTGCTGGAGATCTTTTGTGGTGGAGCAGGACCTGCAAGGCAAGGTGACGGCAGCCTTTGTGAAAAAAAGGGAAAACCTGAAACAAAAATATAAATAAGATAATTTTGTTACTTCCAATACAGAAATCAGATGACATTATGCTGTTAAAATGACTGCTTTTGTATTGTGTTTGTGCATCTTTGCAGGATCTGAAATGTCTGCAGACTGTTGTGAGCAGTGAGGATGGGAAGCTCACAGCAGCATACTGGAAATGGTCCAGTGCCATGGATGAGACGCTCCATCACTCCACCTCTTACTGCCTCATCTGGGCCAGATGTTGCTGTGGTCTCTCTTCATCCTATGTGAACCCAGAGCCAGCTGGAGCATCTAGAGAAAGACCAAAAGACACTGAGGATGTGAGTTTGGTCACGTTTGTTCAGCTGGTTTCTGTTCATACAATGAAGGCTGACTTTCAGAAGCTTTAAAAGCATCATCAAAAAATATCATGAAGCTTTTATCCAAAGTGATTTACAGTGCTCTTATTACAGGGACCTACAATCCCCTAGAACAACCTGGATTGCTCAAGGACATACTGCTGGTTTGGTCTAGGTTGTGTGGTTCAGAGAGTCGTCATCATGGTCTTCCTCATCCTCTTGCTCAACGATGTCCCCATTGAGAAGAGCAAGATTGTGAAGCACAGCGCAGCAGCAGAACTGACTCAGCTGTGTTGGGATGTCATTAGGATGTGGGATTCACCATCTGTAAATACATGATTGTTAGAACAATAAGTTTGAATTAAGCTTTGTTTCATCTGTTGTTGACTTGTATATGTATTTATTGTGATGCTTATTTTTATTCATTCCTTTACTCATTTATTCATGTTTATTGTTGTCAGTAAATAAATTGTATTAATTCATGTATTAATTGCTTGACTGAAAATTGATGTATTCACATCGACTGCATTTGTTCAACTAGTGTATGTTTATGTATAGCTATGTCACGACAAAAAAAAATGTTTTTTTTTCATTTTAAGTAAAAAAAAAAAGTAATATAATTATTGGTAAGCATTTATCATTATTACTGCATGTAAGTGTTGGGGTGGGCAAACGATGCAATTCATTCTGGGGTAATCTTAATGTTTAAGTAGTAATACTTACATTTTTAGAGTATAAAATCAACAGTCTTCTCCAAAGGCGAGATCTTCGAGCAGCTGCCCGACATATCCTTTGTGCAGATATTGCAAATGCTGAGGAAAACCATACTAGATTGTTGAGTGAGTGATGCTATGAGGTGTTAGTGCACCTGTCCCTCTTTTTTATCATTATTATTGCCGAACTTATAATTACATAAAAGATCAGGGAAAGATGGTTGTATCCAGAGGTGTAAAGTATTGGAGTAAATGTAATTAGTTACTGTACTTGAGTATCTTTTCGGGTACTTTGTAGTTGTACTGAGTATAAAGATATTAGCAACTTTTACTCTTTACTTCACTACATTTTTGAATGAGTATCTGTACTCTTTACTCCACTACATTTGAAATGAGTAAAGAGTACAGATACTCATTACTCCACTACATTTGAAATGAGTGTTGCAGTTACACATTACATTTGGCATGTACCTAGCTTTTTCTGCAGCAGTTTATTTCTGCTACAAAAGACGTGATATTGCCTATTACAGGTCACTGAAAGTACTGCATCTTCTGCGTTTTGCCCTTACTCACCCAAACTTGTCAACAAGGCTACTTCACGTGAATGCGAGTTCCTTAGCAAGTATTCGCACTATGTTTGTACTTTCTTCTGCACTGGAAGCTCCTGTCGTCACTCAAATTCCTTGTGTGTGTAAACATACTGGATAATAAAGCTATTCTGATAAAACAGTTTAAAAAAATGTTATGTGTTCATCATAGTATGAGATAATATACACAGAACAAAAGCACAGTGACAAGGTTAAATATCTTTGAATAATTCATCATAATGCATTTTTTTTAGAAGCCTGAGGGATGAAACAAGAGTTAAATTCAACAAGAAAAAGAATAAAACAAAGAAGATTTAAGCCACTTTTGCTTGTGGATAAAATATTTTGCACAAAATGATTACCAAGATATTCAAGAGATAACGATTTGGGGTTTTCGTAATATTAAAAAAAAAATGCTTTAAGGATAAAACTGGATCACATTAGTGGAGTTAAAAATATAAGAACTTAAATCAACCCAAAATGTATTGGCTATAGTACAATCACAAAAAAGGACAGCTGTTTTTTCAACAAGACCACAAAATGGGCAAGTTTCAGATAAATAAATTAAACCTGTCACTCATATCTTTTAAGTTGTTGCGCTTGTTATAACGTTGTAGGTCACATGATAACGTCAACACAGCAGATGATATCCGAATCGCATTCATACTTAACGCATTCAGGCTGTACTTCAGGCTGTACACTCTCATAGCGCTCGGTAAGTAAGTACTTGAAATTAAGTGCCTATAACTTAGAAAGTATGCGGTTTCGAACGCAGCCCTACAACATCTCGTTTTGACATCTCGCGTGGTTCTGTTTGATTTGGATAACTTCAAGTTACGCCCCCTTCCAGTTACGCCCCTCTCTTGCAGTCCGCAGACAGACCCTTCTCAATGTGCATGCAAAAAAAGAAGGCGTGGTTTCAGGAAAAGCAGTAGTGTTGATGCAGCCATGTCAGGGAGACGGTGTGTGTTTCAGTGCGAAAGCAAAAGCACTTTATTTGGCCTTCCGGAAGTAGATGCAATTAGGAATCATTGGTTAAGATTTATTTACAACAGAACAACACAACCCAGATGTTCGAATTTGTGCAACGCATTTTATGGACGACAGTTTTTTGAACCTAGAAGAGTACAAGGCTGGCTGTGCACAAAGGCTATTTCTAAAAAAAAAAAGGGTAAATTCCGACTTTGCTATGACAATATGGCGCTTCTGAATCAGCGACTGTAAGTATGTTTTGTTATTAGTTTAAGTATTTGCTATTGACTGTTCAAATGCGGAGTTTTGCGCAGTGCAGCGCAGAGTAACTCGTCGTGTGTGTGTGTGTGAGGGGAACAGGGTCACATCACAGGAGAGTTAACTGCCTGTTAGAAATCATAGCACGTCAGCTGTCTTAACCGCGGCTTGTGTACTGCATCATCACTGTGCCTGTCACGCGACTCTGTTGCCCTTTCGGGCTTGAACTGATGGTAAAACTAACAACATTATTAACTGTCTTGATATTTACTTTGAAAGCTGAAGCGATTATGGTAAGGGGCGTTACATTTCCGACGCGTGCTTGTGGTGTTCGGCCAATCACAATGCACTGGGTCAGCTGGCCAATCAGAGCAGACTGCGCTTGTCGGAAGGAGGGGGCTTTGTTGAAAACAATGTGTTTGAGAGAGGCGGGGCATAGAGGAACTACAATAATGTACAGTATTTGAAAAATAATGTGTTTTTTGAACATTAAAGCATGTCAACATATTCTGTTACACCAAATACACAAAATAATGATCTTTAAAATAGCATCATATGACCACTTTAAACTGACAGTTGACTCTTGAAAATTTACAAAATACATTCTTCATGCTGCATATATGAATTTACCCTTTTTTTCTATCTATCTCAAAATAACTATATATAAAAACAACAATAATATAATTATATAATAATATATAATAACATATCCAAGCCAAATTAACCACTTTATATAAATTATGTATTAAGAAGAAGTAGACTTTAACAGACTTTTTCATGTATCAGTGTTGTTGCAAGAAACTGGCAGATAGAGCTTCAAAATTTACTTTTTAAAAACACTTATTTAAAACAGACCGTGATGGTCTACTGATTCTTTATTGCATATTTCAAATTACATGACTGGACAAAACTGCACTGTCCCTTTAAGTATTTCTTAATTTGCTTTTGGCAACAAGCAAAACGAATGTGGAAAGAATAGTGACGTTTGACGTAAATGAAGACACAATCACATGCACATATGCAAATCCCATCACAGACTCTTCCTCTCTTATATGCATGCATGCACATTCATGTGTGCTCACACACACACAGCAAGGTGCCACATCATTGACAGATTTAATTATGAGGGCTGGCAGGGATTTGTTGCATAAATTAGAATAGTACCAGCAGAGGGGATCTGTAACAAGGCTGAATGAAGGAGATTAAGAGCCTGCTCAACTCATCTGTGTCAATGCATGTAATGTAGGGAAAGTGCTTTAGTGCAAAGCTGCCATACTTGTTATTTGACATCTTTCTAATTAAATATTACACACGGCATGGGAATGTCATTCCCTCCTTCCTGACTGCCATTACACTATGTCTTTAGTCGTGAAGAAATTATTTCATTAAAATGCCACCTCGATAAGCATGTCAAGGTCTTAAACAAGACTCTTAAAACACGTAACAGTATATACAAAAAAAAAAAAATTATTTACCATTTTTGTAGACATTCGTAGAGTTTCTAGATTATTTTTTTGTATAAATGTTAATCAGTGCTGGGTAGATTCTTTAGTGTACACTCTTTACACTCTTAAAAATAAAGGTGCTTAAAAGGTTCTTCACAGCGATCCCATAGAAGAACCATTCGGTCAATATTTTTTTTAAAGAACCATCTCTTTCTTACCTTTTATATTCTGAAGAACCTTCTTTTGCCACAAAGAATCTTTTGTGAAACAGAAAGGTTCTTCAGATGTTAAAGGTTCTTTATGGAACCATTTAAACAAAAAAAGGTTATTCTATGACATTGTGAAGCACCTTTATTTTGAAGAGTGTACAGTTTACAAATTACATGATGACAAATGTATTCAGTAATGTAATCTAGATGATTAAATTTTAAGTAGGCCTAATGTATTCTGACTACATTTGGATTACATTTAGATTACTTTTGACCCCAATTGTTTATAGATTTAAATGGGGTTATTGTTATAAAAAGCAAAGAGAAATTAAATATATTCCCTTCTTTGTTATAAACATCATGAAAAATGCCATTTCCACATTTGAAATATTTTATTTGTTGACCTGCATGTCAGTGACCATTAACTGACATCAGAGAATTGTGAACATGCAAATGTGTTGTTAAATTATTGAAATATTACCATGGTATAATTGACTGAGAGTTGCTTTTGTCTCCAAATTCAAAAGCATGGACTGCGAATTAATTTACATGACATTTACATGGCCATGCTACATTGTGAATATTCAAAGCTAAACAATATGACACACACAGTGTAATTTTAACATGTAATCAATAAAAAAGTAACTGTAGGAATGTAATGTAATCTAATTACAAGAACTACATCTTTGGAATCTGATTACGTAATCCAAATGACATGTAATC